CTCATTTATACACAGAAATATTTAGTAAAAGATAAAAAACGACAAACCAGATTTTGCCCAGATGCGTTACCTTGTGTGCGGTGCGGAAGTAGATGCCCTTGTCGGCCCCACAGCTGATTATCTTCACCTTGTTGTCATGGGCTTAAAATAAACAAAGGAAAAAAATGTGTTTGAAAACAAATCTCTTTGCAAGCAAACACTCTCCTCTGTTGATCGCTAGCTACAGATCTCAAATCAGACACAGTAACAATGAACAGACCACCTGACTCCACATATAATTTCACGAATTATCTTAACAAGCGCTGCTGTGAGCACCTCTAAGTGGGATTGTTTGGGACCGAGAGGAGATAATAGCTAGGATTAAGAGAAGATCAGTCATCAGATGTCTACAGCATCTCGAGAGGCTCACCAGCAAAGCGGACAGCTGTTATGGATGAAGAGTGCTCATCGAGCGTCTGCACCAGACTGTAGTCATCGTCTGCGTTCAGGATGTGGATCAGACGGTCCCTGCTAGCTGTGGCCAGCAGCCTCAGACCTGACAGCAGGAAGGTCACCATACATATCAGAATGCACATCCACGTGTATAAAGAAGGCAGACGTGAAAACACACCGACCTGTTTCTGGTTTGCTGTAGTCCAGGCAGAGGATCTCAGCATCGTGAGCCTCCACTTTCAGAATCTCCTTCATGCTGCTGAGATCATGAACCCTGAACAGGATTAACTCTCGTTTTAAACAACAAAGGTTACTCTTGTGGGCCATCAGTCTGTTGCAGACTTCACCCGTTACCTCAGCACCCCGTTACGATCTCCAGACGCCAGGTGCTTGCCGTCTGGACGGAGACAGACAGTCCTGATCCCCGTCCTGATTTCTGCCGCCTGTGCATCACCGGACTTGTCTGTGCTCATGTTTGCGGTGCATCCTGGGTCCAACAAGCTGCTGGTGTTTCCATCCAGGTACATTATATTCAGGAGATCCTGTGAGGCAAACACAATTTACAGAAATTACATCTAAACACTCAACATGTTGTTTTTGACAGCATGATGCTTGAAGTGAAACTCACGTTGCTGAGATGGTTCTGGGAATAAACGTGGTGTTGTGTCGGGTGTTCCACGCACCACATTCTTATGGTGTTGTCAGCTGAGCAGGTAAGAAACACACCTGAGGACAGACCAGCCACCGATTCTCCAGAAACATCTGGAAACATCTGAGGAAAGATTCAGATGGACCATAAATGTTTACAGTGTAGTTCAAATATCATCTTTTTTTTTCATTGTTTAATCGATTGCTTGCTTCTAAAGTGAATACAGACTAAAATTTGGTAGACCTGCCACTCAAGGGGTTTTAAAAAGATGCTTTTAGGATCTCTGGAAGACTAAAAATAACTTCCCACAACGGTGAATGTGCTAAGAAAATCCATGTAAACTCCTGCTAAAATGCTAAAGATCTTCAGGAGCTTTTGGGCGACACTGTGTGTTGGTGCCTCATGCAGGTGAGCTGCAACGTAAAATTTAAACCCTTACGTACAAAAAGTCACACAGAAAAACTAAGCAGGAAATGTGCATCAAAAATCAACTGATGCAGTGTTACAATATGACACATTCATATATTTTTAAAAGAGAGTTTATCTGATGTGCAAAGGAAAGTTTTCTAACGGGTGAGCATGAAGAGGAGATGAGCACGTGGGAGATTTTGTTGCAAAGAACAAAAATGTTTAATTCGTCTTCCTCCGCTTATCCGGGTCCGGGTCGCGGGGGCAGCATCCCAACTAGGGAGCTCCAGACCGTCCTCTCCCCGGCCACCTCCACCAGCTCCTCCAGCAGGACCCCAAGGCGTTCCCAGACCAGATTGGAGATGTAACCTCTCCAACGTGTCCTGGGTCGACCCGGGGGCCTCCTGCCGGCAGGACATGCCTGAAACACCTCCCCAGAGAGGTGTCCAGGAGGCATCCTGACCAGATGCCCAAACCACCTGAATTGGGTCCTTTCGATCCGGAGGAGCAGCGGTTCTACTCCGAGTCCCTCCCGAATGTCCGAGCTCCTCACCCTTTCACTAAGGCTGAGCCCGGCCACCCTACGGAGGAAACTCATTTCGGCCGCTTGTATCCGCGATCTCGTTCTTTCGGTCATTACCCAAAGCTCATGACCATAGGTGAGGATTGGGACGTAGATCGACCGGTAAATCGAGAGCCTGGCTTTCTGGCTCAGCTCCCTCTTCACCACGACAGATCGGCTCAGCGTCCGCATCACTGCAGACGCCGAACCAATCCGCCTGTTGATCTCCCGATCCCTCCTACCCTCACTCGTGAACAAGGCCTCGAGATACTTAAACTCCTCCACTTGAGGTAGGACCTCTCCCCCGACCCGGAGTTGGCAAGCCACCCTTTTCCGGTCGAGAACCATGGTCTCAGATTTGGAGGTGCTGATCCTCATCCCAGCTGCTTCACACTCGGCCGCGAACCTACCTAGCAAGAGCTGAAGGTCAGAGCTGGATGAAGCTAGGAGGACCACATCATAATTTGGTTACATAAATTAAATAGAGGCAACCATGTGATCTGCAAAGGAATAAAGCAGCGTAAGCGAATGCTGCTTACAGTAACCTGAGCTCAGCAGGGCAATGCCAAAAACAAAACCAAACATCTAGAAATTCTAGAACGAAGCAAGACTTTATGAATTGTGTCATCATGTAAGAAAACATAAATGGATGATCCAGAATGTCCAGAAAGTTTTTATTTCAGGATATTTTCGTTTTGGGAAATAAAAGAGAACCACGTTTGGAAACCATCCTTGCCCAAAGCAGCCCAGTCCTCTGGGACTGATCTATTTTGTCTTGACTGATGAGGATTTTATTGGTTATTCTTTATGTTAGATCCTAGAGAGCACCATTCCCCTGGAAATGTTTACCTCCAGATCCCAAACACAGGCAGCATGAAAAAGGGCGGAGGTCACCTTCTTCACCCGCTGCACCTCTCTAATGTCCCATACGTACAAGCTGTGGTCGTTGTACACGCAGCTGAGCCAACGGCTCACGGGGTCATACTGAACAGCAATGCAGTCTGGGTAACAGCCATTCGCCTTGGTGTTACAAAGATGGCTGGAGGGGGAATAAAATGTTGGGATTAAATGTGTAGAATGGCTGAGTACAAGCATACAAGAATACAAATGCTAGAAAGGGATTAGGGAGAGCTTTTAAATGAGTTGAGACAGGAAGTTCCCACTAATAGAGCGGATTGCTGCCAAGCACAGGTCACGCCACTCCTGATCCTTTCCTCACCTGGCCTCAGTGATGCCGGTGACATTAGAGCCAAGGGGATGGGGCTTTGGCAGTGTGCAGACAAAGTGTAGGTCAGCAGACTTGAAGGTTCGCACCGTCCCATCGGCACAGCCACAGAAGATCAGGTCCTCAGACAGGGACAGAGAGTGGGCCACGCCGGTCTGAAAACAGGACAAGAGCCACCAGGAGCATCAGCAGCTCCAGTTATGACACTCAGAAAGATCTGGCCTGAGAAAAATCTAGCTTTGCCTAAAGATGACAGAGAGGAACAGCAGCTTAATAAGAATTACAAAAGCTTTTTCTGAATTTTAACTTTCTGTCAGTGGTAGAAAGGGAACGTTATCACATCTTTTACTATTTTCATTACAAGGCAGCTAAAGATCTGACCTTAGAAATGTTATAGCTGCTGACAGTGGCTTATTAAGGTCACCATGGTTCTGTTGAGGGTCTGACCTCATGAGGAAATTACTATGCAGTGATTTTCTCCAAAATGACTGTGCTTAAATTGCTCTGAAAAGCAAATAATCACATCAGCGCCAAGAAACTTCATTTCCCATGATGCTTTGCACACGGAAGCATTGTGATGACGTCACCGCCTAATACCAGAAACACGATCTGCGGGAGGCGGGAGCTTGGAGCTTTCCCGCGACTTCAAAGACTATAAATCATGAATGAGACAAAGAAACCTCGTTCTTTTGCCCAGGATACCTGGCGGTAAGGACACGCTTGTCGAACGCTCCGACAACTTGAGCACGCGTAAGCTCTAAATGCCCAAGTTGAGCCCACGGAACTGCTGGAAACTACACTCCAACTCCATCAGGACCTGACTGGGAATGAGCGGAGCTCCATCCAGCTCTCAGAGACGCTGTAAGTTGTCAAACTCAGCACAAAAGAAACTTCGTTCTCTTTGTGTCCAGCCCGTGGAGAAACACTCGTGGAGGTAAACAACGGAGAAAGCATCAAACCGACGGATGACGCCAAACTGCGGAGAAACACGGAGAACCGTCAAATCAAAACAGTGAGGGACGCTTCACTGTTCTGGTGATCAGAAAACTCATTTCTCTCTCTCCTTTTCTTCTCCCGTTTCCTCTATAGTCCAGAATAAGCAATAAAACCGCGCTATTGCTTAAAAAGTAGCTTCGTGTCTTCCTCTTTCGTTCCCAAACACGTCCGTCAGGTCATTTTGAAAGAATAAACTGCTTATTTATCATTGTTTGAATATCTTTAAATGTTTCGGCCATGGCCAGGCTGATAAACTAAAAGATATTAACCGTGATTAATCCTTTGTGTTGTTTCATGATCCTTTGAAATGTTTTGAGTGAATTTGAGGTTAAGTTACTTATGATTCTAAGTGCCTTGGAAGTTAAAGTGCAAGTTGCCACTCACACTTTAGCCAGACAAAGGGGTCAGCCATCTTGCATACAGACTCCATTTTAGAAACACACACACATACATACACACAAAACACCTTGAACATTATTTTGAATATACATCCTTTTATTATATCACATGGTTATTATTCATTTATGCCACTGTTTATTCATTTGACAAATTGTTAATTAAACGTTATAAAATTCAGATTTTCGTCTCCAGTAGCTTTGTTGTGTCGAAGAGAAGTCTCTGCTCCGAGGATTCTATGAACTTCAAGAAAGACTGATAAGAGTTTTGGATTCAATTTTTCCCCGGTTAAAGGGGAATGGTGCCCCGTATATCTAAGAATATCTTAATTAATTAATAAATCAGTAAATATTCCCATATTTACAGAATTTATTGAAGAATCCAAAAGTAAGTTAAAGCTTACGAATTGTTCGCTCCTAATAACCCCAACAGTTCCATCCAGCCATGTATCCATCTATCCGTCTATCCATCCGTCCATCCATCCATCCGTCCATCCATCCATCCCTCCATCCATCCATCCCTCCATCCATCCATCTATCATCTATCTATCTATCTATCTATCTATCTATCTATCTATCTATCTATCTATCTATCTATCTATCTATCTATCTATCTATCTATCTATCTATCTATCTATCTATCTATCTATCTATCTATCTATCTCTATCTATCTATATCTATCTATCTATCTATCTATCTATCTATCCATCCATCTATCTATCTATCTATCTATCTATCTATCTATCTATCTATCTATCTATCTATCTATCTATCTATCTATCTATCATCTATCTATCTATCTATCTATCTATCTATCTATCTATCTATCTATCTATCTATCTATCTATCTATCTATCTATCTATCCACTATCTATCTATCTATCTATCTATCTATCTATCTATCTATCTATCTATCTATCTATCTATCTATCTATCTATCTATCTATCTATCTATCATCTATCTATCATCTATCCATCCATCCATCCATCCATCCCTCCATCCATCCATCTATCATCTATCTATCTATCTATCTATCTATCTATCTATCTATCTATCTATCTATCTATCTATATATATATATATATATATATATATATATATATATATATATATATATATATCATCAAAATCCTTAATTCTGGAAATCGCCTGGCACATCAGCCCCACCATGATTTTTCCCCCAGCTGCTACTCTAGTGGGCGGAGCCTTTTCTCTGACTTAAAGGTTGCAGACCTTTGAGGAAAGAATGGTGGGTTTATTTGTTAGATCAAACTCCAGGTTGAAAGTTGAGTTGTTGCTAATCTCTCATTACTCTAAAACAAAGCAGACATCCGACTTGTGGGATTGCAGCGTTAACAGAACACTCTTTCAACTTCCTCCGTATTTTAGAGCGGTAAACCCATCCAGACTGTAAGAATGCTACATGATTCTGCCATGGGTGAGAATGTGCTCTAACACAGGTAACACAACAGTGCTGTCTGTCACTCACCTGCAGATCCACCCACTGTTCGATCATCCTCTTGTTGTTGAACTCACACAGCAGGCCCGAGGAGGTGATGCAGTAGGTGGAGTCAGATTTTGAGCCCCGCCCACAGGCCACATCACTGAAGAAGTTGTTCCTCAGCTCCCCAAGGAGCCCAGATCGGCCCAGCAGAGGCACGGGAGTGCTGGCCTGTCAGGAAACAAAAAGGAAGGAGTTAACTGCTCTAGACTACATTTTAATCAACTGACTCGAAAGCATAAGCTGGAAAAGTTCAAAGAATGGGAACATTTGGCAGGAAATCGATTATTTTTCCTCTAATGAAACACAAAGAGCAATAAAACTGCTTGGATCAACTTCAATTTGAGTCACGCTTGACAAACATCATCCCGTCTCACCTTGTTGTCCTTGCAGTTGTCCAGATACCAGAACCGGATGTGTCTGTTCCCGGCTGTCACAAAGTAGGAGCTGTCCTCGGAGAAGGACACGCCCGTCACCTTACTGGACACCTTGTTGGCAGCAACAACGACATCTTTCTACAGGAAATCAGCGATTCAAGAGGAAATCAAATTTTGCTCTCATATAATTTTAATCTGACATTCAAATTAAAGATTTTGAAAAATTCCAAATAAAATTATGTTAAGCCAGTCATTAATTTTTTAAAGTTAAATTTTAATGTGATGAATTGAAAATATCATTTTGAAGTCAGATTATTTTAAGCAGCTAATTTCAAAATGATCATTTCAATTCTATAATAGATAGAATAAAATAATTCTTTGTACAATTATATTTTTATCTGAATTTTTTTAAAGAACAAATTTGATTAGTAGAACTATAATTATTTTTCTAAATTTAGTTTTACAAGCCATGTTTTTCTTATCTTACTGCCTTTACCTCTAGAATTATTCTGCTGAAAGAAAGGGTTGTTATATTATAAACAATTATTAAATTAAATTCTGTATTTATTTGCGTGTTTTAATAATGCTGCCCCCGCGACCCGGACCCGGATAAGCGGAGGAAGACGACGACGACGACGTTTCTGAAGCTCAGTAAAATGTTTCAAATCTAAAATATATTTTTCTGCAGTTTGTTCTGATTAGAAACTGTTTGTGTTTACATGACAGAAAAGAAACATAAGTTTTCATTAATAAAAGGCAAAACAAACCTTCCATGCCCAGACGTTGACCATCATGTCATACTGGTTTCCCACACTGACGATGAATTTGTTGTTAGGAGAAAAGGCCACGCAGGAAATGCCAAATTTGTGTTTCTGGAGCTCCGTCACCTGACATCGCTCTGAGAGGTCCCACAGCCTCACTGCTGGAAGGTGACCGCACTGATGAGAGAAAGAAACAACCATTAATATAGTACATGGTAGTTATGAAAAAAGTTTTCACACATTTCTTCAGTTTAGCTTCATTTAAATATTTATGATCAGCAAAGAATTATCAGCGACAGACGAAGGTAACGATACAAAAAACATCTTTATTCTTTTCTGTGGACGAATGAAATAAAGATGGAGCTCTGATGTAAAAACATCAGTAAGACACGGCGGTGGTAGTGTGATGGTATGGGGCTCCTTTGCTGCTTCTGGACCACTTGCTGTAATTAATGGAGCCACGAGTTCTGCTCTCTAGCAGAAAATCCTGAAGGACAATATCTGACCTTTTGGCCTAAAACAGGTCTTTCACACTGGAAAAGTAAACTGTTCCTCCTTCACATATCCCAGATGAGTTTTGATAGCTTTGTTCTTTTGATTAGTTCAATACAATTCTAAAATTGCATTTTGTATTTACTGAAGTTATCTTTGTCTGACATGAAATTTTGATTACTGATCTAAGTGTTGAAAAACATGAAAGAAAGAAAAAACTCTAGATCTTGTCTCACTGGACAGTTGTCACCTGTGTCCACACACTCTCCAAGCTAATCCTTCCTGTCCTCTGACTGAAAACAGTCACCTGTCCCTCAGCCTGCACACGCTATTACCTCCTATAGGGATCTAAAGGTCCACAAGCTATTCTTACTATGAAGGACTCAGTCAATGAATGTGGGGTGACAGAATGTGGACGATATACAAGGGAGTCAGAAGCAAAACAATGAAAGTCAAAACCGATAGCTTGTCGTCTTTCCTTGTATGCAAATCAGTGTTTGATGAATGAGTGAGGGACATCAGATAACTCACTCAGGATTATCTTTGGCTTAAATTAAACGTCTCGTGAAGCTTTGAAGACGGAGCAAACGTTGATGTCCCCGGCAGCTAGCCAAAATGCTAACACTTGACTTGAGAACCGGCATGCACATTTTTGCAATTGTATATAAAGTTTTTGTGGTTGGAGGCTAAACAATTCAACCTTTTCTGTGTGCTTTTAGTTATTTGAACTTTGATCCCTGCAGTCAAGGCAACCGCCGCGTACCCATCCACTTGCACAGAGAAGCTTCTAATCGGCTTTGATTGGTTGAGCAGGATTAAGGCGTTGTGTTGTGCTTGGGTCCACATTGTAACAACAACAAAGTGGAGTGAAGGCGCTTCTCTGACAAGACGCGTTAGACTGTGACACGACAAAACGGCGGAGCTTTAAAGGCACACAGAGACTGCAAGATCAGCGTGAGATGAATTTTAATCCAGCAGGAAGAAATCGTGCAAAGACTTAACAGAGTTATTAGTTCAAGACAACTTTACAAAGTAGAAATCTTATTATATTTCTATTAATTTTAACATTATATTCAAAGAAATAAAAGTCACTGTAAAAAAGAGATGAAAGACATCTGGAGGACTGACCTCTCCTGTGACCAGATACTTGCCATCAGGGGAGAACGATAGAGCCGTGATGGTTTTTCTGTCGACAGAATAACAGAAAAGGTTCTGATGTGTCGTGTTTCAGAGACCGTTCCCAGCTGATTCTGTTTAAATGTTTGTGTTTGACTCACCTTGACATGTTGATTATGTGGCTCTGTTTGTTCTTTTTGGGGTTCAGTAAAACCACCGCACATCTACAGGTGGAAAGAAAATGTCACACAAAAACCACAGAACAACACAGAGCAGGCCAGAAAAACAGCCCTAAAAGCTACATATGAAAAATAAGTTCATATAATTCAAATTTGGAGATAAACACACTTCTAAGTGTCTAAATGATGAAAAATAATTCATTTGACCTTCAAAATTGTATGTAAATCCAGATTTAGTATTTGGATAAGGGTGTGGTTTACTTGTTTAGTGTTCTCTAATGTAAACCAATCCCTTATTAGCCATTTTAAAAACGCTATGATGCTCCTCTTCTGAGATGCAGAAGTTTGCTGGTGCAGAGGTGGGCTGAAAACAGCAGGATTACTCATTATTATATATAATATGCATACACCTCGCTTCTGATTGGCTAACAGAACACGTTCAGCCATGTTGGAAAGTCAGTATCACCAACACACTCTCCGCTCTCTCCTTGCTGTAAAAGAAATTTAAAAACAGCCTTCCTGTGGGCGGGCTCGAGCCAAGGTGGGCGAGGCCATGAATGCTAATTCACAGTGTGACATAGATAAGTGACGATTTTCAAATCCTAGCATTTTACCATCAATTTCAGTGGTTCGCAAATGGCGGCCCGCGGGCCACGTCCGGTCCGCAAGCCCTCTCTTTGTGGCCCCCAAACCCCGCGTGAACCCTCCACCCCCATCCCCGACGGCCGACCGGGAGGTGTAGGATAGATAGAGCTGATGAAAATAATCAAATCATCGATGCATTGAGATGCGGGCATGAACGATTCTGCATCATTGATGAGTCCCATAATCAATTATAGTGGAATGTGGTTTTGTTATTTTAATGGTGGCACCAGCGTAGCATCCACATCTGTCAGAGTGGTGTTCTCCACATTTACCGGGTAGGAAGCTATGGTCCACCTTTTTTGTGAGTGGCCCTTGGACCATTACAATTGAGGACCCCTGATCTATTTCCTATCAGAAGCTAACGCAGGAGATGCACAAGACTATTTTCATGTTCAACCTGCATGGAAAAACTCTAAATTATAATCAGAAATAATAATAATATTTTTTTTAAATCAGTCAACCACACCTTTAATTTGATATTTTAAGACTTACAGCAACCTTTAATTAGGACAAAATACAAATTTCAGCATTAGGTAAGTCAGCCAGTGAATAGTTAAAGTTTATCAGCTTCAAAATGAAAACATAGCTGAAAGACAAGCAAACAAACAAACATGGTGACACAAAGTTATAGCTCAATATCTGTAGAACCGCCTCAACTGTGTTCACGAATGTTAGTTAACTGTGGCGGCCATCTTGAATGGAGTTGACCGAAGATGTAAAGTCTAATAATTTCTGAGTTTCATTAAAGGCAGTAAAACACACACACACACACACACACACACACACACACACACACACACACACACACACACACACACACACACACACACAAAAGCATCATAAAACAACATTAGAAATATTATGACCACTCCATCATTTGGTTGATAATTAAACTGATTTTCCAAATTCTACTTCCTGTTTTAAACATGTTCTGGATCTTTGTCGATGCTTGGTTGTTGTCTTACTACTGATAACAAGTCAAAAAAGCTGGACATATCTTCATCTGAACGCCTGATTTTTCTTCTTCTAGAATATTTCACTGATCTTTATTTGCCAGCCAAGAATGATTACAGAGACCTACGTAAACAATTCCTGTCTATCTAAAATGTTGTGCTCATTTCATTGAAATGGTCTTTATTTTCCAGTTCAGATCATCCAGATATGAATGTGCTTCCTGTTGAAGCTTCTTCCTCTTTGCACCTGAGCAGCACGCCGGTCGACGGGCTTCCTCCTGCTGCTGCTGAACAGCTAGTTCTTCAGACCTGTGCCAGGAAACGATGTTCCTGCTACTGCAGCTTGTACAGCTTTAAACTGGGGCAGCAGGTGGATTGCACAACTGTGTGTCGTTTAATAAAGCTTACTAAAATGAAAAGCACTTGTAGAAACAAGCAAAAGGGTAGCACACATCTCCCACTGACAAGTCACTTCCTCTGTGGAAACAATAACGTAAAAAGCTCAAACTTTTCTGTTTTCTGCACAGTCATTGACCTGCTTTGCACGAACACAGCTCAGATGCACAGATCGTGTTTCACCCTCAGAGGACACTCTGGTTTTGTTTCACTGTCAGGCAGATCTGAGGTCCCAAGGATCACCAGAGAGATCAGAGCAGGTCATCTAGCCTCACTAAACATGGGAGTTTCTCAGAGGAAGCCCCCCCCCCCACCCCCCCCACCCCCCCATTCCTTTTCTGAGATGGTGCACAGAAAACAATCTGAAATTTGAACAACAGTCATCGCCAGGAGGTAAATAGCGATAAGCGGAGTGTACTTTGATAAGTCAAAGAGCAGATGCGCAGATAGCTGGCCTCCTTACCCTGCAGGATAAGCCACAAGTCCAGATCGAGGATCGCAGGCTAGGCCGCTGTTTCCCAGAGTGGTGATTCCAAGCACCTTTTCCAATGTTACCTTTAGAGAAAAAACACAGGGACTCATTTTGGAGATGAGAAAAGAGAGGGCGTGTGTTTGTCAACGATGTTGGTCTGTTGGCTCCAGACATTATTTAGAGTTTTCTTTTTTCGTAGAAGTACAGAGAAACAAAAGATGCTGTCATGGTAACTGCACACCCGACAGCCTCAGATACACGGATTCTGCACAAAAGCTGAAAGTTTTAAACCAGAGAGACAAAAGTCACTGAGGGTCCCATGTGGGAGTTTTATGTCTCTGCAGTGTTTAGTTTAGGAGATACGGCAAGTTAAAAACAAGCCTGATCTCTGTGGATGTTTGAATGTGCACTATAACAGTGACTAACATTGCAATGATGACTTGTACTTCTACAAATACTTAACTTACAAACAAAAACAATCAAAAACAAAGACATTTAAAAATGACTAAAAATTCCTGAAAAATTCTAAAAAAGCTGAACTGGCAGAAAGAGCAGAACGAAGCTAACTCAGGTGTTTGCTAGCATCCAAATACGGCATCTAACCTATAAGAACACACCAATTGGCCAAGTGGATGAACAGCTCTGTTTGATTTTACTGTGCTTCCATTAGAAAAAATACATTATGTGTAGCAAACATCAGAGCTGACCATTCTTTGTGTTTTCTTCTGCTCTTTGCAATATGCGTGTTGCGCATGCTGATATTGCGATGACAACCCATTTGAGATGTATCAATCAATCAATCAAATCAATCAATCAACCCATTTGAGATGTATTGTGCAGCCCTAACGTGCACTCTTCCCCCTCCCAGGAAATTTGGCAGAAACCCATGAGTCCTACAGCCTTAAGAGACAGGATGGGTGAAAGAAGACCAAAATACCTTTGTTTTGATGTGAATGTTGTATTTGTACCCTAAAAGAAAGACCCGCTTGTGTGCAGATTTGAAAGTTAGACCGTTCCAAAGTGTATTGCCATTTGGACACTTAGAGGAAGAACATCTAAAAGCCATGACATCTAAACTATGATTGTGTAAAAACCATAAATGATGCGAACATGTCAGAATCATCGTAGAGAGTTCTCCTCAAACCCAGTTAAAGCGTCTTTTAAGGCTTTTCTTTCTGTGTTTCAGCACTCTATTCTCATTTGACCTGCAGCGAGTTTTAATGTCAATCTCAAAGCTGCAGGGCAAGAAAATGGTGAGAATTATACAATGTGTACTCGAGTGGACATTTGAGACGTCCACACACAAAAGAATAAGATTCAAAATGCACTTTTCCCTACTAAAGATAAATCAAAGCATTCTGATGGGCATCATTGGTGCATTCATAAATGTTTGTTAAAGTGATAAAACAGGCTGGCATATCCTAGATAAACTCCTCTATTTGGTTGGAATAAATACGGATTTCTCCTCATATTCCTCACCTTGCTTCCAAGGTTTTCTTTACAGCTCTTCTTGACTGATGGAGACCGCAGCAGGTTCCTGATGCGCCGCTTGATGGTGAACCCGTCTCCTGGCATCCTGCTTCCAGACTCCAAACCTGGAGGACTAAAACCAACAAGCAGGAGAGCGTGGAACAGCAGCTCCTTTCAGCGAGAACTAAAAACCTTCAGAGCAGACCTGCAGAGCTTTGAGGAGTCAGACAGAGGCTGAGCTGCCGGGACATGTGGACACTAATCTCCTAATGTTCTCCTGTCGCTCTGCATCAAGCGCTTCCCCCTGAGTTCTGCACTGACAGGAGGAAAATGTGGGTCTTTATGACATCCCTGATTTAATCTGAACCGGTCTTGTGATTGAATCAATGACTGCCATCTGATTTAATGGGATTAAAGAGAGAGAGAGAATGAGAGATCCAGTGGGCGGGACACAGACTTCCCTTATCTCCCATCAGTCTAGTCTGATGGAATAAACCTATTTTTTTTTTATTTTATTTACATTTTATAGCCAATGGAAAAACCAGACCTTTTGTTTTGTTTGTTTGTTTGTTTGTTTGTTTGTTTGAAACCTAAACCTTTTATAATATATAAATGTGAAGTAAACAGGAAATAACACTTGAAAAAAAAAAGATTCAAGAAGAACTTTTAACTGTCTAATCAGGTAAACGTCCCCATTTGTTTGAACATAAGGGGCGGGGCTTAAACAACTTCCTGGAACCAGACACCAGGGGTCTCTTGCCTGTTCTTGCTTTAACTGCATGCAATGTTTTTCCATTGATGTAAGCAGGGCGTGTCCAAAATGAGGACCAGGGGCCCGTTTGCAGCCCTCAGACTGATTTTGTGTGGCTCCAGCTTGTTTTTCCAGAGTGGTGGACTCTTCAGCAGGCTGTTTGTATTGATTGATACTTTTCAGTACTTCTTGTTATGATTTTTATAAATATTCCCGTTTTCGAGCATTTTTTGATCAGTGCAACCAAACAAATTCCTATAATACTATTTTGGAATTTTAAAAACAAAAATATCACACTTCTGTGACCAGAGAGCGCTTTTAATTTGATGATGTTGTCCCAGGGGCGTGTCCAGGGAGTGGCCTGGGGTAGCACATGCCACCCTTGGAATCTGATTGGCCACCCCAGGTGCCACCACACTAATTTACCTTTAAATAGGCTTTTCATTGTCCACAAAAGGCTTGGGGGTAAAACAAAAAAAGCATAACCATTGGTGCCACCCATGCACAAAGTTGTGCCTCACCTGGGCCACCCCATTTTAAAAGATCTGGACACGCCACTGTGTTGTCCCTCGTCATTAAGTTTGAACATCCCTAAACAAACCAATGCTGCAGTTTTCACTCCTGCCTAAAGGTGGCAATAATGTGCTGATTTGTTTATTGAAAGGACAAGAAAGGACGTTTTAAGTGATTTCTCATCAGAAATGCAGTGTCTTCATACCCTTGGGGTCCCTGACGGATCAATTTTCCAAACATTATTACATCTCTCCACTCAGGGGGATTATGCTATATCTCTGGTGCCACCATCTTAGATGGAAGAGGTAGGTACTGCAGTAATAATAATAAATATGGTAACAAAAAACATTAGCTGTATGTATTTTTCCATGGAGGAACCCCAACGGTTAGAACTCCATTTCAATTTGAAGAAATATAGGCGCAAAGCTCATGGATGACCTCTGGTCAAGAAAGCATTCCCAAAATTTGTGGCAGTTCATTGGAATGTACACATCAAGGTTATTGACATTGGATTTTATGGTTACTTATGATCACCTTAAGAAGTAATACGTAGTGCAACTCTAGTATTATAATAAAGTATTACTAATCTGACATTCATTTAAATATCAATAAAACAAGACTGCAAACTTTGCAAGGCTACTGGTTTCCTCTAACAGACCAAAAACATACATGTATGGTTGATTAGAGACTAAATTGTCCCAAAATGAGAACGAGTGTGTCTCTGTTGTGGACTGAAGACGTGTCCATGTCCACGAGTTGCTGCAAAGTTGTCACGGGGCCCCAAGCAAAATGCGCTGTTGCCCGGTGCAGACTAGAAATCTAGTCAGTAACAAAAGTTCTTGCTCTGTTGGTCGGTTCAGCCAGGCTTTATTGTAGCCTCAGCAAGTCCACCATTGGCCCAAACAGTTCTAGATCTGTCCAATCATGGTGCTCTATGTTTGTAGAGATGCTGGGCGGGGTTAGCACCAGAGCTGGAGGAAAACCACAAAGACGGCATTGGTTTAGGAAAAGCGCTCATTTAAAATGACTTTGGGATCAACTTTGGATGATTTTCTCTGAAACCTGAGATGTGCTTAAGTATTTTATTTAGAATAAGGATGTGTTTGCATCTTCTTCTGAGGTGTGTGGTGGACTGCTCCATTCACTGATCACCATAGCAATTAATACCTCCCATTGTTGCTCTGATTGGTCCTATCGCTGTCCGATTCTGTCCAGACAGTTTGAAAGACAACTGTAGATTATGTCCCACGACGGAGCTCTGTCTATGGGCATCTATGGGTGATGGCCAGAGTATAAATTTACATATATAGTGTGGCAAGGTGGAGAAACGAGGGCCCGGGCGGGATTCGATCCCCAGACTCCCGGGTGAGAGTCACACACGCTAACAAGTCAGCCAAAGGGACATCCCCTTGGCCAAGTAGCCAGGGCGCATGATCGATCGGGACAGGACGCTCACACTGCCACAATAGGACGGCTTGCCAGGCTAGTGCAGACTAGGAAGCTTGCTACCATCTCTCCAGGTGTAGCGGCTCAATACTACGTCATAGAACAATGCTGTCAAAGCACAGCTTTTCACTGTCTCACAGCTGTTGTGGTTCTGACTATAAAGTTTGTCGGCTCTCTGGGGGTCCTAACCAATCACCTGCCCTTGTGCCTGGGTCCATTATATAGTATGGAAATTGTGTCATGGCGGCGGCGGAAGAGTCACATGTCAAGTGTCGAGCCCTGCTCAGTCTGTCGCTGTGTCCTTGTCCCAGAGCAGCTGTCTGTGGCTACTTTGTAGCTCACCACCACCGTGTGTGAATGTGTGTGTGGGTGAATAAGTGATTGTGCTGTAAAGCACCTTGGGGGGCTCTAGGAATCTCCATCCATCCATCCATTTTCTGAACACGCTTTGTCCAGGGTCATGGGGGGGCTGGTGCCTATCTCCAGCGGTCAATGGGCAATCAGTCGGGGTACACCCTGGACAGAGTGCCAGTCCATCGCAGGGCAACACAGAGACACACAGGACAAACAATCACACACACACACACACACACACACACACCTAAGGACAATTTAGACAGACCAATCAACCTAACAGTCATGTTTTTGGACTGTGGGAGGAAGCTGGAGTACCCGGAGAGAACCCACGCATGCACAGGGAGAACATGCAAACTCCATGCAGAAAGATCCCAGGCCGGGAATCGAACCCAGGACCTTCTTGCTGCAAGGCAATAGCTCCAACCACTGTGCCACTGCTCTTAAGAATCTAAAAGGCGCTACAAAAAAAAAAACAGGTGACTTTACCATTAGAGCAAAAAATAAAAACTAAGCTGCATCCTGTCACCTAAACATAAAAACAGAAGCTAAAACTGATAAATCAAACTCTAATTTTAACTTTTGACTCAGAAAAACTGGACAGAACAAGCATTTCAGATCCTGATCTGCCACAGCTGGTTTCCAGGATTTTGAATTTATCTAACCGAATCAGGATGTTTGCCTTACACGAGTCAATCAGGACAGGGACTTGATTAGCTTTTCATGATGCAACAACACTGATAGCTTACTATCTGTTCACCTCAGAGTGTCACACGCCATCCTACAGCAATTACTTAACAGATTAGCTAAAATATCACAGATAGTAAATTTGTACGTTTATTTTTAAGCTTAGGCAACTTAAAATGAAAACGGACAAAATTAATAAAAAGGAGAATAGAAGTTGATTTATTTCTTTATTCTGGACAAGATCATTTTATTTTTCTCAACGAAAAAAAAAACAGTGTTTCTAACTCATAACCCCCTCACAAAACTAAATAAAAAAGCACAAATTCATGCAGGTTATATTCTTTATATACACAAGTAACTCTACAGACATCCCAAAATAGACAAAAAAAAAGTAACAGGAGGTTTCTACCAGGAATTAAAGTGCAACTAATGATTATTTTAAACAAGTTCATGAAAACAATTTAAATGTTGCCAAAAAAAAAAAACGCATAAACGTGAAAATTTCAAGCAATGTCAGAAACATTTAACTGGAACCATCTTTATCCCCTCGTGCGTAAGGCAGATCAGTTACTTCAAGGACAAGATCCTTTTAAAAAGAAAGGAAGCTAATTAATTCATACATTCAGTGGGTCACATAGGATTTTATCATCTTCTGCCTCTCTCAGTATGAAAGAAGTCCAGTGTGTGTGTGTGTGTGTGTGTGTGTGTGTGTGTGTGTGTGTGTGTTTTAAAAAAGAGCAGCGCAGGTGGTTAACCGAGCCCTGATCCTTTGGCTGTGGCCAAACAGGCACATTTGATGAATCTTTCGGTCCGTTTCGTTGCCGATAAAACCGGGAGCCAAGCAGATGGGGGGGAGGCTGAATGGCTACAAGTATTCCAGGTCAGGTTCCAGTTCCTTCTCTACGTCGATCCAGGAGCGTTTCTTGGCACTGGGGAAGTCCTTTCCCAGAGAGGCGCGCGTCAACGGTTTCGATGCGCAAACGTCTCCTTCTGTTGCGTTGCGACTCTTTAAGCTGCTGATGGAAAACCGAATTGAGCTGTCAACAGATGCTGGGGAACTTTTTGAATGTCGTTTAGCTGGTTTGGTCGGACTTGACAGCAGAGTCTTCCGAGGCCGGCCCCTGCCTCGTTTCACCGGAGCGGGTGTGTGTGCCACGCCGCCGGCCTCGTCACGTTGACTTTCAGCAGACGGCTGAGAGAGTTTAACGGCACTGTTGATCATTCTGAACTCCTCCACCTCAACTTCTTCTCCAAGCAGATAAGCAGAAGAACTCCGAGTTGGTGAAAGCTTGCTCTTGGGATTGGGCTCCAAACTGCCAGGAGGAGGAGGAGGAGTAGGTGGAGGCGGCTGCTGAAAAGGATTAAAACGCAGGCGAGCAGGAGCCGTAGGTGTGTTCACACCTGGGTCCTGGTTGTTCTTCATAGCTTGTACCTCTAGCGGGGACCTAAAGTTCGACGGGTTGAGGTCAGTCAGGTCTGAAGACGTGTCCGAATTCTTGGACAAGTCCTGGTCAGACGAGCTGACCTGATCTTCCTCTTGCTGCACTTGGGGTTCCATCATCACCAGGGTGTAAAATCCATGACCAACTGTTGGGAGATCAGATGAGATGATTAAAACAGTGACACTTGAATAGCAACTTAACAGGTTAGCGTTAGCTTACTTGGCCTTAGTGACGAGGGAAGGATGATCCTGCCAGTTTTGGATCGAATCAGCGGGAGAGAAGCCACCGGATTTGGAACCAGAGCCTTTGCATTAGCATTACTGGAGGAACCAGACACGAGCTGGTTATCGGAGGCGGGTTGTTCTTTAGTTTTTTCTGGATCTTCTACTTCCTGGCTTTCATCAGACATTAACGGAAGTTGGCTGGTTTGGTCTGAGGGTCTGGTTTCACCGGGCTGGTTCACCTTTGGAGTCTGCGGGGTGACCTTCTGTTCTAGGAGGATCTGTGGTCTTGACGAGTTTTCAACGCCAGAGTCTTTTTGGAGGCTTTTAGAAGGATGAAGCAAATGGAGTAGCATGCGTACGTTGTCTTGGGCAGCTTTGGACAGCTCGGTTCGAGGTGGAGGAGACGCGTAGGTGCTGCTTTTCTGGTGTAAAGACTTGGGAGCGGCGGCTTGTAGGAGAGCAGCTTTACTTTGCAGCAGCTTGGAGAAGATGGGCTTTAATTTCATCTTATTCTCCAGCTGTTTCTGCCGCTCAGAGATCTCCTTCAGCTTGCTGTAAATCATGGCTTCAGACTTCCCTAAAAACATAAACAACTAAATCAGCACAAAGCAGGAGGACGTGCACATCTCAGAGCCATGCAGGAAGACTATACCTGACATCAAGGAGAGCTTCTTCACATAGGCACACTGCTGCTGGATCAGCTGTTCTTTGATCAGATCCAGCTTTTTGGATGTGGCCTGTAGTGTTGCAACTTCATTTACAGCCTAAAACAAAATACAACGAAACTACTGAATCAGACGATGAGAGCATAACCAGGCTTTCCACCAGATGTGTTAGCGTAACGGACGAGTTTTCACCACAGCCTCAGCGGTTCGCCCATTCCCACCGGGATCATCTCAGATGTTGAGCAGCTCCCAAAAGCTTCCACACCGCTGGTGATGTGAGATTAGGAAATCGCAGAATTTCACGATCACGCAAACATTCGCCAGTTGATGTGACGCGGAAGCATAGCACATAGAAAATATACGCCCCTGTGTGTAGGCGTATATTTTCAACAGCGCTGCAATAATCTTCGCTACACATCGACTATGACGGATCTTAGCTATGAATTCCGCCTCACAGACGTCAAGTGCCACCTATGCATCCAGTGGAAAGCCGGGGTAACAGTGAGATTTTGAATAGGGATGCACCGATACGATACCGATACTGGTATCTGTAAAGGTCAACCGATACCAAGAACCGATACCAATGCAGTTGCTTGAAAATGGCTTCACTGTAACTTGTCATTTCTGTTCACCTAATATTTTAGTTTTGTGATGATTTCTATTCATATATTTTACTTTTCATCTACCTCACAGTCTTTTCCTGTTGAAAGCAGAGAAGAAAATAAAATCTGTATTCCAAATCATTGCATTATTTTTTGTGTGGTAGAAGTATCGACATTGGTAATCGGTATCGGCGAGTACTCAGATCTAAGTATCGGTATCGCATCGATTTGGAAAAAAGTGGTATTGTTGCACCCCTAATTTTGAAGCCTTATTTTTTCCTTATTTTTGTGGCCAAAACCACTAAATCAGCTAAGAAGCAGGATGTGGAACTGACCGTTGAGAGGAGGCGGTCCTTGGCAGTTCTGGGACCACACTCCAGAGTTAGCTGGAGTTTTTGGAAGAGGATTCGCTCCTCACCACGTCTCAGCTTTTCTAACTCCTGGTGGTTCTTGCGCCAAGTTTTGATTTTTTTCTAAGTGTTACATCAGGGATGATAGATATTAATAAAACAAGACACAACATGTGGATATTAGATTTTTAAAAACAAACAAAAAAAGGCTCTACCAGACGATCCGGGTCCTTCGACGACTCAGGACCACTGGTGGCGTCTCTGAAGGTATAAGACAAGTCAGCGTGTTAAATCAGATTACATGAGAAGGGATGTAGGGCCACAAAGGAAGGTATTTAATGTCCAAGTGTTAAATATTAGTTTTTGAATAAAGTTAAAATGTGAACAAACAAGTAGAAAAATTATTTCTAGAACAATGTAAGAAAAAGCTTTTAAATATTTTCAGGGAAAACGTAAAAATGTCTAGAAAAGGTTTAATTATTCATAAATAAAGTTAAATGTTTATAGAATAAATCTAAACAGTAGAAGTTGAAATGTCAAACAAAAATTCCATAGCAAACATTTTTTTGAGAAAAGACAGTCGAGAAGAAATAAAACATTTCCCAAAATAAAGTCAAAATGATGCGATGAAAGCTGAAAAACGTTATTTATTAAGTTGAACTATTGATGAAAATTGGCTAAATATTAGTTCAATCAACAAAACTACAATGGCAAATTTGGGAAACAAATTAGCTTCAAACATTTTACATAGTATACGACATAGTATAGCTATAAATATATTGAGGAGAATAATAAAAAAATAAAATAATAAAGTGGTTCTCTCGCATTTTTCTAAAAACATCCAATAAACACATTTTGGACTGAAAGCAGCTATCGGACCATCCGGGTGTCGGTCTGGCTGAACCGCTGAACTCCTCTGGGTCCTCCATTGCAACAGAACTCCACTGGTGTGACAGGTACTCGGCCCAGTAATATCAGAGAAGGAGAAACAGCCAACTGCTACCACTTTAACTTTAGGAAAAACTACAATATGGTCCCAAAAAGAAAATCACCATTTGAAGTCATGGACAACAAAAGATGTGTGGCTCTAGAAACCGGGAAAACTGGTGTTTAGCACCATCTCGTTTCATCAGGCAATGCGGGTTTTCTGTTTTGGCGGAGGACGATATCTGAGGGGAGGGGTGAGTCCATGACTTTGTTTGCATTCAAAACCTAGCTTGTTTGCTGATTCGCTATAACAGTTGATGGTTAAAATGGAGGAAAATTATAAATGTCAAGAAAAAAAAAGTCAAAATATTTTCTGAAGTTAAAGGGACATTATGGAAGTTTGACAGTCAAAACATGTATAGAAATAATAAATTTCTTCTTCATACATTCTCCTGCAATGCCCTGGTCCTGTAGAATGAGCCCTGGCATTTTTACTGTGATTGCATGTTTTTCTGTAAAATCACAGAAAAAGAGAGATGCTCGGGTCGAGCAGGCTGCTTCATGCACGTTCACGCTCAGGCATCGCCCGTAGCATTTGCTATCCGTAGCTTTAGCAGCAGAGAGAGAGGCAGTGCCACTTTGTCGCTGTTCCTAACGCCTAGTGACAAAGCTAGCTACATTTCTGAGGACCCTTAGCTACTTTCTGTAGAACTTTCTTCTAGATATTTCCTGCAAATTAGCAACAAAATAGCCATTTTTGCTCCAAACCGTTCTTTGGTTTGACTTTGTTTCAGCTGTCATCAAGGATATAAATGTTACAGATAGATTCAACGTCACGGGCGCTTTAGCTCACATAGTAACGTCTGACTCTCATGCAGAAGACCTGGGTTTGATTCCAGTTGTGATAATAATTTGTCATTTAGAGTTTCTTTTTTACATTAATGGTATATTTTTACAGTAAGATGCCCAAATTTTTATTTGAGACTCGCCGAACGGCATTGAATTCACAGATAAAAAAGATGTGGGTTCAACTTTCATTTTGGAACTATTCTTCAAGCAAGGGAAGGGAATGATCTGAGCATGCAGGAGGACTGACCCATCATAAACCTTTGTCGGCTGTGCTGAAGAGAAAGGTACAGAACCAAATTATTTAATTAATTAGCTGCGTGTTCTCCTGTCCTCTGTCCTCCGAGCCACACACACGGGACTGTCTCAGCTGTTATTTTTGTTAAGGAGTGTGCACGTACAGCATGTACAGCATGTGCACCTCGTGCATGAGCACGAAACTGCCGAATGCTTTTAGCCTGAGGGGGCAATCGCGAGCATAAAAATTCAAAAGTCCGTAAAGTCCCTTTAAATATTTCCCCAACTAAATAAAGCCAAAATCTCACCTGATTAATTGAATTTTTTTTCATGAGTGAAGTTGAATTGTTAAAGGCGCACTTGGCAGTTTTGCTTACTTTTAGCACCCCCCCAGTTTCCTTTATTAATTCTCTGTGGTTAAAGGTTGAATATTGGAAACTCTGGCAAACTCTGGTGTTCAGAGGTGGTATTGCAACAACAGGACTCATGTTCCAGCCGATGGGATGTTGGTTCACTGCTGACACGTTCCAGCACCACGTTCAGAGACAAATCCAACAGGATAAGGACTAACTTCTACTAATAGGTTTATTTTAAAACTATATTTACCGTTCAAACATCTTCTGGGCTCAGAATCAGCTGCTTGATTTGTCAAGTCCGTCATTTTACACAGTCCCAGCCTTGCCTTGCTGAGCGGAATTTTTAGCGCTATGGTGCCCTCTAGTGGCTGGTCAATGTTAACATAAACCCAGTGTCGTGCCCGACAAAATAAAATGTTTATTTTTTTAAATATAGCTTTTAAAGGAGAAACTGTACGTTCAGTCTGCACGCCTCTAAACACCACGTGAAGGATTTTTTAAAATGTCATTATAACTTTTTATTCAAATGTTCTATATTCTAACTTTAAACCAAAAATGAAACCTATCTCCTCTCTGTGCGTGTTTCTTTTTAACACCTTAATCTAACAGCTGAAATGTCTTCTCAGCCTTCATTAATGTCTACAGGAGTAATTCATCACTAAATTAAACAAATCTGCTGTGTTCATGATCTAAAACATTTAGGAGCCGTGCTGGAAGAAGACTGCAGCGCCAGGTATGTCAGTAAATGTATTTGTAAGTCGAACAGGTGGCAGCCCACCACACTGAAGTTGCAAGTGTGATATCCCGGCAAGAGAGTGACAGTTCATTAAGCCTGCCCCCCCCCCCAAATAAAGTAAGAATAACAGGTATTAAAATATTAGTTGTTTTTAAAGATTTGAAGAAGAAGAAACAAGAAGAAGAAGAAGAAGAAAGAAGAAGAAAAAATAAAGAAGAAAGAAGGAAGAAGAAGAAGAAAGAAGAAAGTAGAAGAAAAAAGAAAGAAGAAAGAAGGAAGAAAAAGGTAAAAAGAAAGAAGGAAGAAAGAAGAAGGAGAAGAAGGAGAAGAAGGAGGAGGAGAAGGAGAAGGAGGAGAAGAAGAAGAAGAAAGAAGGAAGAAAAAAGTAAAAAGAAAGAAGAAGGAGAAGGAGAAGAAGAAGAAGGAGAAGAAGAAGGAGAAGAAGAAGGAGAAGAAGGAGAAGAAGAAGGAGAAGAAGAAGAAAAAAAAAGTAAAAAGAAAGAAGGAAGAAAGAAGAAGGAGAAGAAGGAGGAGGAGAAGAAGAAGAAAGAAGGAAGAAAAAAGTAAAAAGAAAGAAGAAGGAGAAGAAGGAGGAGAAGAAGGAGAAGGAGGAGAAGAAGAAGAAGAAAGAAGGAAGAAAAAAGTAAAAAGAAAGAAGAAGGAGAAGAAGGAGGAGAAGAAGAAGGAGACGAAGAAGGAGAAGAAGAAGGAGAAGAAGGAGAAGAAGAAGGAGAAGAAGAAGAAAAAAAAAGTAAAAAGAAAGAAGGAAGAAAGAAGAAGGAGAAGAAGGAGGAGGAGAAGGAGAAGGAGGAGAAGAAGAAGAAGAAAGAAGGAAGAAAAAAGTAAAAAGAAAGAAGAAGGAGAAGAAGGAGAAGGAGAAGAAGGAGGAGAAGAAGAAGGAGACGAAGAAGAAGAAAAAGTAAAAAGAAAGAAGGAAGAAAGAAGAAGGAGAAGAAGGAGGAGGAGAAGGAGAAGGAGAAGAAGAAGAAGAAGAAGAAGAAGAAGAAGAAGAAGAAGAAGAAGAAGAAGAAGAAGAAGAAGAAGAAGAAGAAGAAGAAGAAGACCAGCACTGGTGCAACAACCTGAGATACCCATAAAGCCTTGTGCAGATGGTGACTTTACACACAAGGCTTTTGTTAGAAAAAAATAAATTATTTGCTTAAATTATAAGCTTCAGATGTTTGAGGTAAGTAAACATTTTAAAACCGTTAGTTAAAATAGAAGTTTGTTTAATTTTAGTCTCGACACTAGATTGAAGAAAAAAAAAAACACAATGTTCTTGCTGATTTCTGTTGATGCACCCCATTAATGCCACTACTAGTTTAATAAAAGTAATGTTTACAAACCTTGTTTGTTGTGATTGGTTTAATGCGTAACGCCTCATGGCTGCAATTATCTCAGAATGTTTTTCTTCTACAGTTTCAATGTCCACCGGCTCCTCCTGAGGAAACACCAGGTTTTTAAGGTTCACCAAAACAATCACTGTGATTCTACATCGTTCCGTATCCTGAACTTCACTTACATCGTCTTCCATGTCTTCGGAGTCTGACAAGTCGGAGCTCAAATCCTCTGAGGTGACGTCAACGATGGACTCCTTTTGAGTCTGGTTGCTGCTACTGGTCCCAGCTGATTGGGGCTTTGGCTCAGAAATCAGCTCAAACGACAAGGAGGAGGTGGTGGAAGAAGAGGAGATGGTGGGGGAGGAGGTGGTGGTAGAGGAAGAGATGGTGGTGGAGGAGGAAGAGGTAGTGGCGGCGGAGGAGGTGTTAGTGATGGAGGGGGAGGGGGAGGTAGTAGTGGTGGAAGAGGAGGAGGTGGTGATGGAGGAGGAGGAGGAGGTGTTAGTGATGGAGGGGGAGGGGGAGGTAGTAGTGGTGGAAGAGGAGGTGGTGGTGATGGAGGAGGAGGAGGTGGTGTTGGTGATGGAGGAGGTGGTGATGGAGGAGGAGGAGGTGGTGTTGGTGATGGAGGAGGGGGAGGTGGTAGCTGAGGAGGAGGAGGTGGTGACGATGGAAGAGGTGGGGGTGAAGAACGAGACGGAGGTGGGAAAGGAAGAGGACGAGGTGGTGATGGAAGAGGAGGTGTTAGTGATGGAGGGGGAGGGGGAGGTAGTAGTGGTGGAAGAGGAGGAGGTGGTGATGGAGGAGGAGGAGGTGGTGTTGGTGATGGAGGAGGGGGAGGTGGTAGCTGAGGAGGAGGGGGAGGTGGTGACGATGGAAGAGGTGGGGGTGAAGGACGAGAAGGAGGTGGGAACGGAAGAGGACGAGGTGGTGATGGAAGAGGGTGTGTTGGTGATGGAGGAGGAGGGGAAGGTTGTAGCTGAGGAGGAGGAGGTGGGGGCGAAAGAGGATGAGATGGTGATGGAGGAGGATGTGTTGGTGATGGAGGAGGAGGTGGGGGCGAAAGAGGACGAGGTGGTGATGGAGGAGGAGGTGTTGGTGATGGAGGAGGGGGAGGGGAAGGTGGTAGCTGAGGAGGAGGTGGTGATGGAAGAGGAGGAGGTGAAGGAGGGGGAGGTAGTAGCTGAGGAAGAGGTGGTGGTGATGGAAGAGGAGGGGATGAAGGACAAAAAGGAGGTGGGAACGGAAGAGGAGGAGGTGGTGATGGAAGAGGAGGAGGTGAAGGAGGGGGAGGTAGTAGCTGAGGAAGAGGTGGTGGTGATGGAAGAGGAGGGGATGAAGGACAAAAAGGAGGTGGGAACGGAAGAGGAGGTGGTGGAGGAGGGGGAGGGGGAGGTAGTAGCTGAGGAAGAGGTGGTGGTGATGGAAGAGGAGGGGATGAAGGACAAAAAGGAGGTGGGAACGGAAGAGGAGGAGGTGGTGATGGAAGAGGAGGTGGTGGAGGAGGGGGAGGGGGAGGTAGTAGCTGAGGAAGAGGTGGTGGTGATGGAAGAGGAGGGGATGAAGGACAAAAAGGAGGTGGGAACGGAAGAGGAGGTGGTGGTGGAGGAGGAGGACAATGCGAGCTTGCTGCTCTGTGGTATCAGAGTAGATGCCCACTCCCTTTTCTGCGTTAACGCGTCTCCTGTGTTGGACACGGCTGGAGCATTTGGAGGTCTGACCCGCTGCGCCGCTCCGTCAGCTGGAGGCCTCGGCAGCTCGATGAGGGTGAAGCCTCCGGGCAGGGCGACGCCGACTGGGTTCACGCCTCCGCTGGCTGGGTTGTTAGGAGGGCAGATTCTGAAGGAGTACGTCCCTCTTTGCCCCAGGAAGCTGGGACATTTCAGTGACTGGGAGACGGTGAGGGAGACGGGCGAAGACACAGAGTTGTCTCGGAGGTTCTGCTGGGCTGGGACGAGTATCTGGACGATCTGCGGACGCAGTTCTACTGGCACGGGTTCTTTTGTGAAAACGTAGGAGGAAAACGTCAACATTTCAACAAAGCACGCGTGCCGTTTTCCAGAAACACAAACGTACCGTTGAATGGCGGGACAACGGGGAAGAATAGGCTTCCTGCATTGATGGGATTCTGCCCGCCCTGCTTCTTCTGGTCCGTTTCCAAATGGAGTCGGCCCGTGACATGAGCTGCAACACGGTTGGCTGGGTGCAGGGAGCCCATGTGGCCTAGCAGCAGTCGGGCAAAGCTGTAGTGTTTACCGTTAACCTAAATCACAAAAGACGCATCGTTAGTTAAAGATGATCGTTCCAGAGAGAGAGAGAGAGAGAGAGAGCATACTGGGGTTAAAACAACTCCTTCCCAGCAAATTAGTAATCCTGAGATTCCAAACTCTTAAGTGTAACCCTCTGGGGTCCAGGATGAAATTTGCCGTTTTTGACTAATTTAGTGTTTTCCTTTGAATTTCCTAAATAAAAACCATAACCACTGCCTTATGTGGTATCAATCTTTTCAGCACAACCTGGACTTTATGAATTTATACTTATTCTTTATATTTGGACATAAAGGGGTCGCATATTAGACCTTAAATCACTCAAAAACATAAAATCCGAATTGGAAAAAAGTTGTTTATTTTACTGTGAAACCAACAAACATTTATGACGAATGTTTTTTTATAATTTAGAATGGTAATCTAGACTGTACATTTATAAAAAAATAGGAATAAATATAGCAAATAACACATTTAAATTTTTTTTTTTTTGCCTTCTGTAGTCCAGGGTGTAAATCACAGTTTTTGACTCATTTTGGTTTTTCTTTTGTATTTTCTAATAAAAACAATAAATATTGCCTTATGGGGTATCATTATTTCAGGACAACCTGGACTATCTGAATTTATACTTATTTTATTAATTTGGCAATGATGTACATGCATTTTGGAGTGGGGAGTGGCTCTGTCAGCTGCGCGGCGCCGCCCACTCCTCTTGTTGGATCTCCGAGGAGCTGGATCTCTGCCTTCATCCTCTACCTCATCATGACCCAACTCTTCTATGAGGAAGGATGGATCTGCCTCATCGTCATCAACATCCTCGCTATTTACCTCAGACTCCGGCTGTGAGTCTCCGTCCACTTCCTCTGCTTCCAGTTCATAAAACATCTGAACTGCCTGGTGGACATTTATCCTTCTCATCATCCTTTATATAAGCCTAATAAAAGCCTACTAAACTGCAGAGACAACATATCTGTCCGGATCGCTCCAAAATATGAAGTTTACCGTCAATATCTGTCTAATTGTTTGTTGTTACTCCGTTGGCGCCACTCCTTTCCCCGCGAAACGGCTCCTTTTTGCGCACATCTCGTTACTCGTGCGGCCTTCCTCTCTCTCTCAGCTACACAATGATACTTTTTATCAGCTGAATATGTGAGACTTCCACCAGCAGCAAAAGGATCTCATGTTTTTGTGGGTTTTTTATGTTCACAAGCACATTCCCGCTCACGGATTACTAAACTGCTGTTTGGACAAGTTAGATTGTCTAAAAATAGGTCGTTTTTTAGTTTTGTATAACTCCGCTTTTACGTTGCCTATTAAAGAAATTTAAAAACTGGGGTGTGGTTTATAATCTCCTTTTTAAAGCTAAATTGAAACCAAAACTCAGGGAGGCGGAGTCTTGCTGCTACAGCGTCCCAAATCAGACCTGTTCTAAAGACGCGGATACGCGTCCGTGGACCCCAGAGGGGTAAGAGTTGCTCTCGACCAGACCTGAATGAGTCCGGATCCTCTGAATAAAGCAGGTTTCCTCTTGGCCTTCAGTACGCCAGCAGGCATCACTCCTCTCAGGAACGGCGCGACGCCGTACAGCGTCCCCGACTCCTCGAGTGGCTCGTCTTCCTCTGCTTCAGCGTTCCCATCACTCACATAATCATCATACTCGTCAAATTCATCCTCTTCACAGTCGCTGTCTTTAGACGCCTTACTGATTTGTATCTAGAAGCACAAAGAGAACAAATTTATTTTTCTTTAAGAGAATCACTAAAAGCTGGAGACCGTTTGGATGCATCAAACTTCTGACCCACCCTGAAGGTGACGATGGAGCCGCTGGGTTTCTGCAGGACGATTTTAGCGACCGGGCTGATGCAGTAAGGCCCGACGCAGAACTGCTGATGAAGTCTATTCTGTTTCAGACGTTTGTATAAACCATCCAGCACCATTCTTCTGTCCTTCTTCCACTCACACAGCGAGTTGATCTGAATCTGCTTCTTTGCTTCGGTTTCGTTGAACGTTTTTCCCTGTTGTGGCTTTTCTTCTGAGGCATCGCGGAGACAAACAGGTGAGGGAGCGAAACTCGACAGCAGAACGAATGTTTGCTCGTTTCTTTACCTGCTTTCTGATCCGTCGTCACAGAAGCGTCCTTCTGTTTAGGCGGATTCTGAGCAGAACTCTGTGGAGTTGCGTCTGGTTTAGAAACGGCAGCGTCGACATCGGAGCCCAAGGTGAGCTGAGGTGGAGACTTGCTGCGGAACTCTCTAACGCGTGCGCAGGTCAGCTTCCTCTCCAGGTATCTATACACTGGGTCCTTATCCTCGTCACACATCTGCAGTAGGAATTTTATTAAAACAGAACAACAAACATTAAGAAATGTGAAGTAAATTGAAATAAATCCATCTGAAGTGGAAGCCTGGTTCTACCGGTGGAGCGAGATGAAGTTGGCTGCGTTTTAGGGCCTTCGGTGGGGGCGAAAATGGAGCGCTTGTGGGAATCGAAAGAGGTTCTGAATCATTGTCAAAAACGTTGCGGTTCCAAAGTTTCTTAGCGCTGGAGCTCTGATGAGGCCGGACTGTTTGTTCCATCTCAGTCAAAGCTGGAGAGAAGACAAAAACAACGATTAATGATTAAAAACTAGAAAGAGAAAAAGAAGGAATGAAGCTTTTTAAAAGTGGAAAATGCTGAGAACTAATTAATTCTAATAAGAATACTTAAATTCAAGATTGGTGATTTATTATTTTCCTATGTGTAACTTTTTCCTCTTAAAGGGACGTTATGGAAGTTTGACAGCCAAAACATGTATAGAAATAATAAATGTCTTCTTCATACATTCTCCTGCAATGCCCTGGTCCTGTAGAATGAGCCCTGGCATTTTTACTGGGATTGCCTGTTTTTCTGTAAAATCACAGAAAAAGAGAGATGTTCGGGTCGAGCAGGCTGCTTCATGCGCGTTCACGCTCAGGCATCGCCCGTAGCATTTGCTATCTGTAGCTTTAGCAGCAGAGAGAGGCAGTGCCACTTTGTCGCTGTTCCTAACGCCTAGTGACAAAGCTAGCTACATTTCTGAGGACCCTTAGCTACTTTCTGTAGAACTTTCTTCTAGATATTTCCTGCTAATTCGCAACAAAATAGCCATTTTCGCTCCGAACCGTTCTTTGGTTTGACGTTGTTTCAGCTGTCATCAAGGATGTAAATGTTACAGATACATTCAATGGCGCTTTAGCTCACCTTGTAAGATGTCTGACTCTCATGTAGGAGACCTGGGTTTGCCTCCAGGTGTGAACATAATTTGCCATTTAGAGTTTCTTTTTTACATTAATGATATTTTTTTACAGTAAGATGCCCAAATTTTTATTTGAGACTCGCCGAACGGCATTGAATTCACAGATAAAAAAGATGTGGGTTCAACTTTCATTTTGGAACAATTTTTCAAGCAAGGGAAGGGAATGATCTGAGCATGCAGGAGGACTGAAGCTTGGTTTATGCTTGACGCATTTACTTTCTGCTTGGTGATGCGGCTCGCGGATGGAACACAACTTGTCTCTGCGGTGAGCCAATATTCTCCAAAACTGTAGGGGGCAGCATGGAGCTCTATGGCATGCATCCAACACTACACCATAGTAGAAGTAAAAATGACTGTTGTTTACAACATGGCATTCCAGCATTTTTAACAGCATCCTCGTCTTTTCCGACAGTGCGAGCTATTTCTCTCCAAGAACTATTAACAACATGTTGATCACGGTGATCTCTGAGAGCTGAATCATACAAATGTCTGTATTTACGAACCTCTGCCATACTAGTTCTTGCCGGTCTGCCATGTTTTTCCACGTCCGACTGTCCGCTTGGTTAGAAAATTTCCTAGGTGCGCGGTGCGGAAATTTTGGGCCGTGTGGAGGCGCGGTGGAGGGGCGTGGTTGTTAAAATGATGCAATTTCGCCGTGCGAACCTCGCGGACGCATCAAGCGTAAACCAACCTTGACCCATCATAAACCTTTGTCGGCTGTGCTGAAGAGAAAGATACAGGACCAAATTATTTAATTAATTAGCTGCTTGTTCTCCTGTCCTCTGGGCCACACACACACACACACACACACTGCACGTTCGGCCAGCCGACGAGAAAGTGCAGCTGCAGAGACAGAGGCACATTATTTTTATTAATTTGCTGTGCTCTTCTGTCCTCCGCCCCCCCCCCCCACACCACACACACACACACACACACACACACACACACACACACACACACACACACACACACACACACACACACACACACACACACACACACACACACAGGACTGTCTCAGTTGTTATTTTCGTTAAGGAGTGTGCACGTACAGCATGCGCGCCTCGTGCACGAGCCTACTATTGAAGCTGCCGTTACGCGATAGGCCTGAGTGGCGATCGTGAGCATAAAAACTTCAAACTTCCTTACCGTCCCTTTAAAAGGATCTTCAGGATCAGTAATATCCACAAAGTTAGGGATCACTGCCTGAGAGGATCACAGTGGAGTCAGGGCCCCTTTGTGGGGCCCAACGCAGACTTTCCTTTGGGGGCCTTCATACCATAAAGTCAAAACCAGATTATTCATTACTCTTCGGCTACAGTATGCGTGAAAAATGCCCAAAATCAGATGTGCATTTTGTAATTAGCTTATTTGATACAAGTTACTATGGAAATCGATATTAACCTTACATTTTGAAATGTTGAGGGTTTAGTGTGGTATATTAATTCAATTATTTGAAAGTGACATCAGCAGAGAAACACTGAATTCATGGTAAACAAGTTAAGTTTTCCATCTTTTGTTCTTTCAAACGCCATTTTGGTGCTGTTGGAAGCCCCCTGGTGGTGTGGGGCACTTGCTTAACTCGTGTATGTCTAGGGCCGGCTCTGGACAGCTTATCTGTACTCAACACAAATGAAAGCTGCAATCCACCCTAACCCTAACTGAAGTTGAGGTCTCTTAGTTGATGTTTCTGATGAACTTGGAACGAAACCTGTGATATAAAAGCCTGCGAAGCTGTCCATCAGTTGGTTGCCATGACAACTAAGGTGTGCGGCAGAGCAGGGGGAGAGTACCAGTGGACCTCAGTGGTTAAGTTATGTGATTTTTTTATTTCTGTGGTGAAACTACAGCGGCTGTAACTTGTGAAAGTCATTAAAACACTAAGAACTGATGCAAGTGACTCATTTGTTTGCCACGATATCAGAGATCACCTCCGTTTAGCCGCCCACCACAGCTAAAAGAAGCAGAACTTTTCAAGAAAAATGGGCAATAAAATCAGGATCTTGTGATAAAAAAGTCGGGACCCTGCAGAAAACTAATGATCTCGCATAATTAACGAAGGATTTTGCAAAACAAAGAGTCCCACAAAAGTCGGAGTCCAGGGTTTCAGTGTTAAACGGACCTTCTTCTACTGTTAACGAGACAGTTATCTTACTCTCAGAGCAGCTGCAGCCAAACATGCACTCAGGCTTTCTGCAGTGGATGGGCCCTCTGTCCGTAAGCTGCAGACTGGAACAAACACAACCCAGCCTGCAGAACTCTTCACCACATTCAGGCCCGGCCTCGAGCTTTGGCATCGGAGGGATTTGTAGGATCTGATGGGCCAGCGTCTGATTAACATGGACACACAGAATAAGCGTTATCTAAGTGCACAAAGTGGAGCCGTTTCCATCAGCACCTTCTTACCCACCTCTTTGGTCAGGAGCACAGTCAGAGCCATCGTTAGGCGTTCTGG